TCTGCTTTGAACTCTGTGATCCTTAAAAGTTCCTCAAGAACGTGACACTGTCTTTGAGTCTCCTGTGGAAGCTCCTTGGCACTGGACTGAGTGCGCTAGGATCTAATCCTCATCCTCTAGGAAAGGAAACCCCTGAAGACTCATAGCCGTGTGCAGATCTGAGTTGTCACAGAGCTGCATTCAGAAAGCATGCAGCTTTGGTCAAAGGGCAGAGGACTGCTGGGCAATGCGGCCAGCTAATTCATCTTCACCTTGGATGGGCACTTCTGTTCCATCTGTCATATTTGAGTGACAAATCCAGCAATCTACCATTTCCTAAAAGAAAAAAAAAAATATTTTCCATGTATATTTATTACAGCCGTCCTTGATATAAAGCAGACACAAAGGCTCTTTGACATTGCCAACTCAGATGAAGACTAGGGGGAGGTTTATGGTTTTTCCCCCAAATTATGTTTAGTGAAATCACAGTTTACTGATTTTCAGCTTAACAATTATTTGTTGAATGTTTACTATGTTCTGGGCACCGTGCGAGACATGGAAAATACAGAAATGGGTGAGTTACTCCTTCCTGGAGCTCACAGTCTAGGCGGAGACAGACGAATAAACACATCTCCTGGAGCGTTGTCAGGGCTGCAGTGACGGGGGTGAGGAGAGACCTGGAGGAGTACAGAGTGGTGGTGTGTAACAAAATAGTAGGTAATCTAAATTTCGTCTTTTATGGATGTGACTACAGCTGAGAAATTACTGTTTTTATTGTCATGCTTTTGTTTCAATTCCATGCTATGCATTATCATATAAAAGGTAAATCTAAGTAATATCTTTTAGCAGTAAAGAGGTGATTAAAAAACCCCAGCCTGCCTCTTCTGCAGCCAAATAAGAGGGTAAAACCCTGCATATGCCATGTGTGTTTTCAACCCCTGCTTGCAGTTTAAATGCTTGTTTACCATCAAGTCTTTCCATAGTTTTCCTCAAGATGAGACTTATTTGTAACAGGACTGTTCGCAAGTTCTGTTTTATATTCAGTAAGAATATTAAAGTTATTGGTAATACGTCTTCGTGACTGAATCTCCTACAGCAGTGAGGGAATCTGCATTTGAGTCAATAAACTCCAGAATATAAAGTTCTCTTGTTGTGATTTTCATTTATCCGTAAGTGGTTAACTCGGATTACTCATGAAATTACCAGCACTTTTGGGTCTCCTTATTCCAGCAAGTACTTTATGCCAATTTCAAGTTTCTGCTTTGATTCCAAACTGTCTCACTTCTGGGAAGTCAGAGTCTGAAGTTCTTTTCAGGGCTCTGAACTCCTGTTCTTCCTCCTTCCTTGCTCCCTCCCTCCCTCGTCATCGTTCCCATGCCCTGACTCTCCCAACCCCCTCTCTTCCAGTTCTCCATTCAAATACCCTTGTCCATGTGCTCCTAACCCTGTTCCGGCCAGTAGCAGCCACACCTCAACTCTCTTGTCCCCTTTTCTGCTCTGTTTTCCCCCCTTCCTATCTCCCCACGCCACATTATCTTTTTATCCCATTCCTCCACTCCCACTCCTGGAATTCCAGGCCCGTTGGGTCTGTTACAATCCATGATCTCAGGTTCAGCTGGCTCCTAGAGCTCGAGGGTCTTTTCACTCTTCCCTTATTGACTCAATCTCCGTTGTCCCCACTGATTTGCTGCCATCCTTCACATGAGATGTCCTAAGCTCCCTGCATTGCTTCAGAGCTCCGCCTTGATGTCCTCACTCCCAGCAGATGCTGCTTGCCCACGAAGACTGAGGAGGTCCATCCTCAGCTGCCTCCAACTTCCTATGGCTACACCTCAGTTTTTTTGCTTGTATATTTTCCTCTCAGCCTTCTTCTGACATGCCTATCTCTGAGGCCAGCCCCCTGAGTATTTCATTGTATAGATTAAACTGACTTTTTAAACCAGTTTCTTAAAACGAACTTAGGTTGTTTCTGTTTTGTTGTGTTTTGTTTTTAATGAATACAAGCAGTTTTGAAATAAACATCCTTAGACAACTGTATTGCCCATTTGTGAGAGCACAGGCAGTCCTAGCCTTGCATGACTCTCTGACATGCACAGTTTCACTTACCACAGTTTAATTAAATCACACCAGTCCCCCCAAAACATGGTTCAAATTTCGGTTACCAGGATTTATTGACTGTGAGTAATTACATGAAGTACAGTCTTTGCTCCTAGCTTTTTTAGTCCACAAATCCCTATGTAAGTAAGAGAAGTGTATCCGTGGTCAGTGACCAATGTCACTTCTTTTCAATTCTGTCAGTGATTAATTACTATGCTTCTGTTGGTCAGTTCAGCACAGACAGCAAAGCAAGTAGTTGTGTTGCTTCTTTGTCTCCCAGTGGTATATCTACGTGACATTTTATAAAACTGGATAACTGAAAGAGGGAATTGGCTGATAAAGATGAAAGTGCAGTAAAGAAAAATGATAATGCTGAAAGTGAAATTCAAATCAAATGTAAATGGGGTTATGGAAGAAATAGCTGACTATGAGAATGTTGACACTGCTGCTGTTCAACAGACTCTAGACCTGCCCCGGAGGAACATAGTGACAGTGAGTTTATTGACATAATGAGGCGTGTGGTTGGGATGAAAAGGATGAAGATGTCCCTGAGGAAGTGACACTGGCACAAAAGTTCATATTAGAGGGACTCTTGGAGGTAGTTCGTAATATTGAAAATACAAAGGTTAAAACATTGGAAACTGATCTAAACTTAGAAGGGAATGTGACAATTTGCTAAGGCGTAGAAAAGATTCTCACTCTGTATTCTAAGTTACATATTAAGAAGAAGACAAAGCCCTGTTCAAACTATTCTTGATAAGTTTATTACAAAGAAATGGAACTTTCATTCTCTGTGTTTTAAATTACAGTATATTAAGTATAGATTAGCTGTACTATCTTTTCATTTCCTTATGTCATTGACAGAGAGTTTTGAGTGTTTTTGATATCTGCTTTAAAATCGCCCTGCCATATGTTCGTGTCGGTTTACACCACCATCAAAAGTTTGGGAGAATCCAATAGTCTCTTCTGATGCCTGTTCTGTCAGTTTGCCAGCGTTTACTTGTCAGTTCAAACTCTCCCTCTGATAGCCCTCTAGTTTCATGGACACACATACACTTAGTTTGGATTTCCTGACCTAGATCCTGTTGCATTTTACACTCGCTATACTCTTGCACTCTTTTCTTTATCTCCATTTTCTTTTTTTTTTTTTTTAAAGATTTTATTTTTTTTTTCCTTTTTCTCCCCAAAGCCCCCCAGTACATAGTTGTATATTGTTCGTTGTGGGTCCTTTCTAGTTGTGGCACGTGGGACGCTGCCTCAGCGTGGCTTGATGAGCAGTGCCATGTCCACGCCCAGGATTCGAACCAACAAAACACTGGGCCGCCTGCAGCGGAGTGCGCGAACCTAACCACTCGGCCAAGGGGCCAGCCCCTATCTCCATTTTCTTTTGATGTAAATTAGACCTGCTGCCTCAGCTTACTTACTGTTCACTTCCTCTTTAGTTCTTACATTTACTTGACAGTAGGCACATTGAGGACAGAGGTCATGTCTGCTTTTTGACTGAGTATCCAGTATCCAGCCTAGAGACTGACGTATGGTCACTAGTCAGTATGTTTTATTGGAGGAAATGAGTTCACAAAAGCCTGCATCCACCATCCCCCTGCCCCCTCACTTGTTCCTCTTGTCTCTCTTGACTCTTCACCTTGGCTTTCAGGAAATACCCCTCCATCTTTCCATACTGTGTCCATTCTCCTTTGGATATTCTTTGTTCCAGCCAATTAGGCTGCTCATTATTCATCTGCTGCCTACCATATGCCTGCCTGCCTTCGAGCCTTTCCCTGTGCTGGCCTTCCTCCTAGAAGTTTGCTCTGGCCCCTCTTCCCTTCCCCCAGCTCTGCCTGGCAGGATCCTACCATCAGTTACCCTTCAGAGCCCAGCCCAAAGGCTTTCTTTATGAAGCTGTTTCTGATCTCCCTCTCCCCAACCACCCAGCATTTCTTCTTCCTTAAACAACTATAGAACTGCAACTGCTTCCTAGAGCCTACCCAATATGAGCCATTCGTGCTGTTGTTTTTACCTTTTCCCACACAAATTGAAGCTCCCCGAGATATCTCTTATTCTTCCCTTCAGTGCCTGACATAGTGTTTTCACATAGTTGGTACTCAATGCATATTTTGTTGAATTGCCCTGCAAAGTGACGCTCCAGAGAGCTGTCAAGGAAATTCCATCCCACTAAAAAATATTGAAGATTGTTTTATGGCTTATTCTGCCCCAGTTTCTTCTAACTCACAAATAAAAGTTCTGTCATTGTTCTTAGAAGTTGTATGGGGTATCCATTTATTTTAAAATGTGAAAGGCCAGAAGAGTGGAGAATGGGAATGTGACGAAATGTGAGAGCTGGGAAGATTTTGAGAGGCCCATGTAGTCCAATTCTTTAATTTATAGGTTAAGAATCTGAGGTCTAGACCGCTTGAGTTATCTGCTCCAAATCACACAACCAGCTTGTAGAAACATTTGGGCTCAGGATGTGGTAGCCTAGCCCTGTCAAGTGCTGGTCCCCACAAGCTGCCACAGTGCCTGGGAGGCTATTGTCTGGGTGTGGGTGGCAAAGCTGTTCAGAGAGGCATCTGAGATTCTCATATTGCCCTCCATGGATTAACAAATAAGAAATTGAATCTCTAAGTAGATTTTCCTCTCTCCCTCCCTTAATCATCACAAGTTCTCTGACTAGATTCATTTATATCAGTTGGGAAATTTCTGGCAATATTAGCCTTGGATGGCATAGATTTGTCTGCTAACATTTGAGTACACTACATAGAGAAAAGCGCATAAAGCGGAAGTGTGCAGTTTGAATTTTCACAGAGTGCACACATCCGTGTGACCAGCCCCTGGATCAGCAAGCGGAGCAGCACCAGGACATTTAGAAACATTGGAAGAGATAAAAAGGTTTTGAAGCTATATAATTTTCTTTTTTCTCCCCACAGGTATTGTCAGTCTGTGTGCTAACAGTAATCCTTGGTTGTATATTTGGGTTGAAACCAAGCTGTGCCAAAGAAGGTAATTAGTATGGTGTGTGTGTGTGTGTGTGTGTGTGTGTGTGTGTGTGTGTGTGTGTGTGTGTGGATATTCAGCCTTCTTCAGGATGTGATAGATAAGTGCCGTGTCCCAGTCCCATGGGTACTCCAGAGATACTACCCATTTCATGCTGGTTTGAGCCTTCCTCTTAAAGCTCTGATTATTTTAGCCACGTAATGCTTTATTTACTTGCAAAATTTCATCCTAAAACATTGAAGAGGGACCATGACCACAACACTAACCAAACAAAAGGGAAAACCCCCAAAACAACAAAAATAAATTAAGGACAAAGAGACAAACAAGCAGCCTTGGCCAACAGGTTCTGATGGCGCGCCCCTGGAGCCGTCCCCTGCCTTCCTCCAGGGCCTCCCAGGACACTCTTTCCCCCAAGGAATTAGGCACGGAAGCAGCTGAGGAGGTTACCAGGTGACCAGCTAGCATCCCCGGGCAAGCAGAAACTTATCAGTATGTGCCCTTAAGGCTCTTAAAATTGCGGACATTGGTAGTTTCAAAGAAATAGAGATATTTTTAAGTTTCTTTCTGTATTTTTTTCTTTATATCAAGGCAGAAATCTATGCAGCACTGATGAGATTACTATAAATAATAAAACTCTGAATCACCGTGCATTGTAGTCGGCATTATTTTGGCTCCGAGGTTGGTCTTTTTTCCCCTTGTAAGATCGTCCACGGTCTTCCTAGGGAATTCAGTTTTGGAAATTGAAGAAATTCTTTTTCTGTTCAGTTCTTCTGGCATTGTACTATTAGTCATTTAAAACAATTTTAATGATTGTTAAGCTATCATTTATTGTTGAAATGAATAAAAGGTAGTAATTTTATGTATTCAGTCAGCAGTCTATTCAGAGCAATGTCTAAGTTTAACAGAACTAAGAAGCTGCAGACTTGAGTGTTCCCCTATGTGGTCTTTGAGTATGGAGCAATTCACCTTGGGTTCAGCTTGACACACAAAAATAAAACTGAAGGATTAAAAATAGCAATTTTAATCTAAACCTAACATAGTACGCATACATTTTTTAAAATTACTAGGTGCATCTTAATGAGCTTCAAATAATAGCTGTTATTTTAAAAGGTTCTCCCCTGCGGCAGGTCAGGAACATTAGTATTTCTGACTCTAGAAATTATTATTGTCATTTCATGTCCTTAAAGTTGCCTAATTTCCAGTGTCATGAGAGTTAAATCCCATGGCAGTGTCATACTGGGTCTGGAGACGTTAAAGTCAAGAGCTAGGATAATTCCTTTTTGCTGTTGCACTCCTATTATTTTACAAGTGGATTTTTTTCACCATCCTGACTTTTTAGTAATCCAATAAGCACCTAGCTTATTCCAGATGTCTAGTAGAGAGTTACAACATAAAATTGTGTTTTTTTAATGAAAATTATTCTTTTGCCATATCTGCCATTGACTATTTAATAAAAACTTACTGGTACCAACTCTAGTCAAGCACGTTGCTGGGTACCAGGGATGCAGGATGCTGGGCAAAATCCAGGTGTAGTCTTTGTTCTTAAGAAGTTTGTAGTCGAGTGTGAGACTGGGGTACTAACGAAATAATCTAGTTGTAAATGGAATTACAATGACTGAGGAGAAAGATAAGATTTTATAAAATCTTAAAAAAGGGAAAACAAGGGGCTGGCCCCATGGCCGAGTGGTTAAGTTTGCACGTTCCACTTAGCGGCCCAGGGTTTCACTGGTTTGGATCCTGGGTGCAGACATGGCACTGCTCATCAGACCATGCTGAGGCAGCGTCCCACATGCCACAACTAGATGGAGAGTTTGAGAAGGCTTCCCCGAGGGAACTAGGCTGGATCCGAAGGTGGAGCAGGTGTTTTAGGTGGTGGTGGGAGGGGCAGTCCCCCAGCGTGTGTTCTGCACAAACAGATTATTTCTTTTTTACGTCAAGACTGAGGGTGAATTAAGTCAGGTCCTCTTTCTCTTTCTGAAATATTGATAGCTAATCACTTTTAAAATCTTTTCTCACATTTTGAAACTTTAGAGAACTCTCTGGATGTTTAAACCAACCTTTTCAGAGTATAAAATATTCAGAACAAACTCTTATTCTGACATTTCTTTACCATAAGTATTTAAGTCTTATCAGACCCAGTAGGGTTTGTCATAAATAAAAAAGCTCTTTTTTTCCTATGGCAAGAGATAAAATTGCAAACTCTGTACTTAAGGTTACCTTCTATTGGTGTCACTTTTTATGTGTATTTGTGAAAAGATTCTTGGGTAATTTTATTACTCCATCTATGTTTCTAAAGTAGTATTTGAATCTGCCTTAGGTGTATTGGTTGATATTTACTTTGTAATTCTATGATAATTAGAAACATCTAACTTACTACTCCATGTTTTCAGTTAAAAGTTGCAAAGGTCGCTGTTTTGAGAGGACATTTGGGAACTGTCGCTGTGATTCTGCTTGTGCTGACCTTGGGAACTGCTGTCTGGATTACCAGGAGACGTGCATAGAACCAGGTGAAGACGTTCAGGGGAAGACGGAGTCATGGGCGTTAGTAAGAGATCAAAGGAAAGTTCTAGGTCTTTTGTGGAAGTGATCTACCTAACTCATTTGAGATTTTTAAAAATTTGGCCTTTATGTTTCCTTAGATAAAAATGATCACATATTTTGCTTTCATTAAACGTTTTATGGATAGCAAAGCCATGCCTGTTTTTAATGTACACTGAAAGCCTATATAGTCTAATTTGCACTTTAAGTTCAAAAAGGCTCCTTGAAATACAGGAATACTTTCACTTTGGGCTTATTAAAACAAGAGTTCTAAGATGTCTACTTAAACTTTAAAATATAACTATTGGAATATGGAAATTTTCTCATTTTGATTTGGACTTCTCTGTATATGACATGGAAAAATATTTAAATGGGAGTCAGTCAGATTTCACTTAAATTTTGAGAACTCTGAAAATGGCTGGTAGAAGAAGACAAGATCTACATATGAATTATGTAACAATAATTGTGTTTGTCCATTTAAAATGATGAAATTCTGTTTTTTTAGTGAAATAATAGTAATTGTTGCCTGCATGTTTTTTATCTGTCAGTTCAGATTGAGCACTGTGGTGGCAGGTTCTGTGAATGACTAGGAGTTATGAAGTAGTTCATTGTCTCTCATGGATCATTTTCCAGAAGATAACAGTTCTGTGCTCACTTTGGATGTGTTGAATTTGGACCGTAAAATGTATTTTGTTGATGTTTGTTTCCAGAACGTATATGGACGTGCAGCAAATTCAGGTGTGGTGAGAAAAGGTTGTCCAGAAGCCTTTGCTCCTGTTCGGATGACTGCAGGGACAAAGATGACTGTTGCATCAACTACAGCTCTGCATGTCTAGGTCGGGTTTCCATGTACTCATGCGCGGCTTCTACAACAGCCTGACATCTTCCTAGGTCTTAGCTGGGTTTTGCATAGGTGTTATTTTTTACATCAGGAGTCATATCGATTGACCAACTATATTAGCTGGAAAAATATTTTTGAAACATTTTAGTAAAGAAAATTTCAAACATATATGTGAGTAAAGAGAGTATGTAGTGACCCTTGTACCCATCAACCAGCTTAATAATTATTATTATCTACACATGGCCAGTCGTGTTCTATCCATAGTCACTCACTCACCCGCTACCACCTTCGCATGTTATTTTGATATTAGCTACATATTTTATGCTGTATTTGTGGAAAGATCGCTTTAGCAGTCTTGCTGACTTCTGTGTCCCCCTGGTTCCCTCATAGTAAATGAGGACAATGTCTGCCACACATTGAGAGAGTGGATACGAAATTACTGCCCAAGATTATAGGGTATTATGTAAACTGATGTTATTTCTATGTCTTGTCTGGGTGTTACAGGGTTCCTTGAAATTCCTTGACAGAACTTGGCTCTCTATGAGAGGAACTAAGACATCAAGGGTTTAATACAGAAGATTTTGTTGGGTGGATAGAAGGAGGGTTGTAAATTTGGCCTGAAAATATTAACAATTTGAAAATAGAAAAGATGTCTTCAAGTTCTCATAAATACAGTAGTATATTTTAGTTTTGCAATTATACATTCATTTTTTCTCCCAGTTATCAACTAACTCTTGTTTGAGACAGAGTAGCCCCCTGTATTTGTTATATTTCCCTGGAATCATGACCCATGTTATCTGTAAATCTGTTAACATATTTTGGTTTTGGAGTCGGTCCTAGTCTGTCTCACAGCATCACAATTGTTGTCACTACCAAGTGTGTTCAACTCGTTTTATTTCTTGAAAATATTTTAGGTGAGAAAAGTTGGGTACAAGAAACATGTGAGAACATTAATGAGCCACAGTGTCCAGCAGGGTAAGATTATATTCTGAGATGCTGATCTTTTCTTTTTTAGAAGTACCATGTTTTTCTTTTTCCAAATTGAAAAGATAAAAATAATAATTACTCGTTGGTTCACTAAACATTGTTTTTAGTCAGGTCTTGGGTTTGCACTGGTGGGATAGAGATGCTTGTGGCATGTGTCACTCTGGTGGCTGGTGGAAAAAGAGGGGTCATGTGTATTTAGTCTTTAGTGTTCATGAGTGTTGGGTGGCAGTATTTGAGTCTTCCTTCTTGGGAAGGAGAGCCCTTTACTTTCATTTAGAGTTGTTTTTTTTTTTTTTAAAGATTTTATTTTTTTCCTTTTTTTCTCCCCAAAGCCCCCGGTACATAGTTGTATATTCTTCGTTGTGGGTCCTTCTAGTTGTGGCATGTGGGATGCCACCTCAGCGTGGTCTGATGAGTAGTGCCATGTCCACGCCCAGGATTCGAACCAACGAAACACTGTTCCGCCTGCAGCGGAGTGCGCGAACTTAACCACTCGGCCACGGGGCCAGCCCCTCATTTAGAGTTTTGGGAGTTGAACTTGTAGCAAATTTCTTTACGACTTCTTTTAATTTTTTTTATTTTGATTCATTTATAAATTTTTAGGGTAAGCAATATGTCTGTAAGAGGATGTTACATAATTTTTAGAATTTCTGTTTGTTCTTTTTGTCCTTAAAGTATTTTGCACAGTACCGTATGTATACCAGGCCATCAAGAGAAGTTTCTATGGAATTCAAAGGGTGGAAAGTTTATGAAAGCATTAGATATATTAATCTTTGCTCAACTTGAGGTCTATTACCTCATATAAGTTGAATTATTCATCTTCAGAAAAATATTTTCAATTTTTAAAATAATTATTTTTCCAAACAAAAATTTTAAAGCTGTATTTTAGCTTATTTTGTTTATGTATTATAATTTATTTTTGCTATATAAGGTGTAAGTTTTTCTTTTGAATGGGAGAGTATTTTTTTTGTTTAAAACAGCAGAAACAACAGTAGCAAAACCCAAACCAAAAACTTCCAGCAGAAGAGACTTTTTTCGAAAGGGACTTTTCATGTACCCTAAGCTGTCTTTTAAGTCGGAGGTTTACTGGAAATTTTAGACTTAGTGTGTTTTGAATCTTTCTTTTCCTTCTAAACATTAATCATTATTTTTTAATTGTAATGTCTTTTTTAGTGGAAAATATAATTCCTCCTTTCTTTATAAGATCGTAATTTAGAACACATTTTATTATACTGGAAATTATTATACCAGTATATTTACCTGGTGGCCCAGAAAACTCTTATGTTTTCCGTTGATTGAATATTAATAATTTTGTACAGTTATGGACCATTGAGACTAAATGCAGCTGATTCTGCAGAGTCTCCCAACAGAGCTATGGCACAAATATTAGTGGAAATTCTATTCAGATTTTCTGCTTTTTCCATTTGGGTTGATCTATGAGAGTAAGCTGAGGAGGAGGGAGAGTTGAAAAAGATACGGTAAGATGAGCGTTTGCTCTCAAATTTTGAATTACTGAGGAAACATGCAGTGGAAAGTTTTTTCACGGTTATCCAGGATATCCAAGTTCACTGCCATCTCCCAGATATCATTAGAAGCTGCAAAATTTCTGAACCATGCCTGGTTTGATGTAGCCATGTATCAGTTGTCCATAGTTCTCTCTTGCTGAGTCCATCATGGTATGTGTTTTTTTTGTCTCCCTCTGGATTTCCATACTGCACACATTAACTCTGTGTGTCTGTGGGCGTGTGTGTACCCTCATTGCTTGTTTATTCCCAGCTTTGGATCATTTCTTTGTTGCTTACAAATTTAAGTGTAGTAAATACTTCTCAAACTTCTCTTAAATATTAGTATCTTTTAAATATATTAAATATATTAAACTTAAAAACTAAATATTGTATAAAATTTGTGTGAGATGAGATACCATCTATGAGATTCAAGTAAAGACAATAATCGGAAAGTTGTTGTTCAGGAAAAAACAATTAGTGGAAACAAAAACATAATTTCAAAAATGCTGTTTCAGTTTATTCTCCTGCAAATTGGGAAAATATCATTACTTTTTAGTAGCATTTAGTCTAGTTTTTGGAATGGCAGGAACCATGAATGATGTTCTCTGTATGGTAGCTCAAAATGCTATGAGTGCTTAATAAATACTATTTTATAAGAGATATGTAATGAAATGTAAAAGCACACATATGAATATAGATGCTCGTAAAGCATCCTTTGCGAGGATGCTTGCTGAGCTTGTTGGCGCTCTGTAGATCACACACCGACCTCTGTGGAAAATCCTCCCTGGATGCCTGCCCAGAAAGGAGGGGATCTTGACTGAATGCTGTCTTCTTTCTGCTTCTTTCAACGTTCTCTTTTTTCTTTCTCTTTACCCAGGTTTGAAATGCCTCCTACCCTCTTATTTTCTTTGGATGGTTTCAGGGCAGAATATTTACACACTTGGGGTGGACTTCTTCCTGTTATCAACAAACTGAGTGAGTAACTTCAGCATTTACTGTTGGGGTGTCGTGATTTTGTGAGACAGCCTAGGGAGGCTGCCTTTTTTTTGGAAAAATACCGGCAGACCCTGTTTTACCAAACTTCTCTCTTGCAAAGTAGTTGAATTTGATGATAAGGAACTAGTCTTTCCTATTGTAATTACTCTGAAACTGCCTTTTAAATACTGCTAAGATAACACCGTTATCTTAGGATTTTTATCCTTTGATTAAAAAATATTTTATATGTAAATATAAAAAATATAAATATATATTAATATTTTTTCTTAGAATTTGGGATTCCTTCTGTGGGAAAATCGTTTATTTATTTAATAAGTATTACATCTTAAAAGTGGAATTTCAAAAACTGAAGGTATTTCTGATATGATACTAGTAGCATAGACATAGAGTATTTGCCTCTCATGCTAATGTAGCATCCTTTCAGTTTCTTTGTCTCAATAAAGGCCTTAATTGAATGATTATTCTATAAGTTATTGATGCAATAATAGAATGGGTACAGTTGTGTGTCACATAACAACGGGGGTACGTTCTGAGAAATGCATCAGGTGATTTTGTGGTGGTGCGAACATGGTAGAGTGCACTTACACAAACCCAGGAGGTATAGCCTACCACACCCCTGGGCTCCGTGGTAGTAATCCTGTGGACCACTGTCTGCGTGTGGTCTGTTGTTGACAGAAATGTTGTTGTGCAGCGCATGACTGCACATAATTAGCTGGAGCCCTTGCTTTGGGTAATTGGGGAATGTAGCCTGTAATTCTGAACTGTTTGGAAGTGAAATATATACGTGCCAATCCAAGGAGCATTTTTAGGCAATGAGGTATTAAAATGCTGGAATCATTAGTTGTGTGTTCCTTCTCCAATAGCAGAGGCAGGAGAAGAGCGTGACGCCAGGGATAAATCAGGAAGGCTGACTTCCATGCTTTCTCTGACTTGAAGCCAAAAGATGCCTTTGTCTATCGAGCAGCGTTGAGTTTGTACAGAGCTGGCCGGTCCTGGATCAATGGGTTGGTCCACTGTCAGCCTGGCTACTGCTTCACTTTTGTTTTAGTTTTGCAGATTTAGCTACTAGACAGTTTTTTTGTTTGCTTTGTTGTGGTTTTTTTTTGGTACTACTTCTTGTGATTTGGGTGTGTGACCACTAAGTAGTATCAGACAACGATCTAGCAAGCATCATTGCTACAACTGGCCCATCTGGAACTTAATGTTATTGATAAACATGGGATCATTCTTCATTGGCTTAATTATTTTAATATTTTTCTGTCTAAGAAAAAACTAACTCTTAACATTGAATTTGAATCTAGTGTTGCTTTATAATTCACTCTGAAATTTTATATGGCTATAAATCCCTCCTGGGTTAATTTTTGTATACTGTTTAGACTTCCGTGGTACCAGAACTAAATGAGGTAAACAGATTGTCAGTTGTATTCAATAACAACCTTTAATTTGTTTTCCTTGTAGAAACCTGTGGAACTTATGCTAAAAACATGAGACCAGTGTATCCAACAAAAACTTTCCCCAATCACTACAGCATTGTCACAGTAAGCTCCACATTTCAGCTTTTATGGGTTCACAGACGTGAGATGTAAATGTAATATTTTTCAAGTGAATAATTAGATATCAGATCAGGAAAAAAATAGCTTCTTTTCCATTGTGTAGTTAGCAAGGAAACCTGGGTTCTGGTCTTTGCTCTGCCACCAGCTAGCTGTCGCCTTGGGAAGGTCACTTTACCTTCTGGGTCTCTATTTCCCTATCTGTGAAAAGAGGTCATGACTAAAGATCCCAATAAATTGCTTCTTGGTTTCCTCTCTGTTTTAGGATTGTGATTCTGTGCCCTGTTTTTTCTTGCTAGTTTTAAGGCTTAGTTTATTTGGGCCCCTAACCTCCCCCACACTCACGTGTTGTCAACTTGTCTTTCCCATCATCTTGGTGTATGAGTTTGAGCCTGCCGCATTGCCTGATGTTTTGTTTCAGTAAAAATTTCCAGATTTCATTTGAATCCGGGAAGAAAGTAGAATTCATTAGAGCTTAGGGTTGAAGCCAGAAAATTAATACTTTAGCTTGTATTGATGTAAGCTGTTCTCAGACCCAACCAAAAAGGAGTTTTTTTCTGCAGAAATGCTTTACTCAGCAATGCAAAAGGACAACAGAGTACTTTTTTTGAAAATTTGACAGGCTGACTATTTATACAGACATTCATCCTTAGCATTCCTAACTGATTTTCTCCTATTACATAATTTGCAACACAAATACTGCATAAAATCATGAGGGGTTGGTTGTGTTTTGACAACACCCATTATTTTATTCTTCCCTCCTTAAACTATGTTAAGTTCTTTGTAGCGTCGATAATCTGTTTCTGTTTGATGATTTTGTCCTGTGACTTTATTTCACATTAAAAAGCTCATAACTTGCATAAAACCTGTATTTTGTATTTTTTAGGGACTTTATCCAGAATCCCACGGCATAATTGACAATAAAATGTACGATCCCAAAATGAACGCTTCTTTTGCACTTAAAAGTAAAGAAAAATTTAATCCTAAGTGGTACAAAGGAGAACCAGTGAGTCGTTTGTTTGTTTGTTTTAACTACTAAAAGAGTTTTATTTTTTTTCTCATTTATTTTAATCAGAGTAAAATATCAGATTCCCTGGAGTTTTTAATAACCTACTTCATTTACTGTATCTCTGGCCATCCTTTTCTGAGTGGAGATGAGTGCTGATGATCCTAAATACAGATTGTATCGTTGTGTAAAGAGAGTAGTTTATTTCAGAGCTGAGTTTGGGTTGGGCTGAGCCATTCTTTGTCCTCGTTGATTCTGCCTTCTTGTACTAGTGGCGTGTGGCAATAGTCTGGGGGTGATATTTTGATCTACACAAAGCTAATTGTTTCTGAAGGAGGTAACCTTGGACTCCATTTGAACATGGAAACTCAGAAGATTCTCTTTGGTGGTCATTAACCTGTGTTCTCCTTTTTATTTTTAGTTTTAATTGCAACAGTAATTACACAGGGTCTATTTGGGTAGTCTTGATATTCCTCTTAGAAGAAAAAAGAGCCTGATGTTTAGTTTGCAGGTTATAAATTCAAATTTTAGCTCTGACGTTTAAAGCTGTGTGACTTTGGGCAAATTATTCTTTCTGTGTTTCCATTTTCTCCTATCTACACTGTAGGTAATACTGTTAACTACATCATAGGGTTTTCATGAGGATTATTTAAGTTATAATCTAGGATGCTTATAGCAATGCTATTTAGAGCTGTACTTGGCAATGATAAGTTCTTCATGTTAGTTACGTAAGCAAAAATGTCAGTCAATTAAAGATATGTATATTTGTGAATACTTCTTTTAAGGAGAACCTATTAAGTAGAGGGATGGCTCTAAAAGTTGCAGGAGTTAACCAACTGGCTTAACTCCATATTTTTTAGGTTAATTTAATCTAATTATGTAATTTCTTTTTGTGGCTCTTTGGAGTCATATTACATGATTAATTTGTAGTCTAACTGCTGGAACTTGTTAATCTTAAAAATGTTCCAGCACTCGAGAGGAATGCGTTGGTGTCACATGAGCGCATGCTTTCCTAAGAAGTGAATATTTGCATAATTTCCTGACTTTCCTTCTTTATCTTCCCCAGATTTGGCTCACAGCTAAATATCAAGGCCTGAAGGCTGGCACGTTTTTTTGGCCAGGATCGGATGTGAAAATCAATGGACTTTTCCCAGACATTTATAAAATATATAATGGGTATGTGTAGATGTACTTTTTTGAGGACCTATAATGTGTAGAACAGATTATTTTTATCTCAGTCTCTCCTTTTTATCAAGTCCTAAGCTCTAGCATTGAGTGATATTTTGGCTAAAACATGAGAACTGTCAGAATATAGCACTCTGGCTCAAACACTTTTAGACGGTAAATAGTAAAACAAAAGAAGTTTTCTTCTAGAGGTTTTCGAGAAAGCACTGGTTATGCAGGGTTTGTGTTTAGATCTTTGGGCAGAAATAAAAAAAATGAAGTCACGGTGAAAGTATGGTGTCAGAGTGGACGCACCACGCATTTTCACTGTAAGGAGAAAGAGCGAGGAGAAGGAGATGAAAGTATTAGAGGACACAGAAGGAATGACTCTCTGGTTTCTGGAAATATGATTTAAAAGAAGATGCTAATAGCATGTCTGGATGTGCATTTCCAGATTACTTTAGTAAATAAGCCATCTAATGTGAGAAACTGATCATAACCACCTCCCTATGATATTCAAAAGCAATGATGTATTGAGAAAAAAATCAAAGACTTTTTTTCTGGAAGACTCTCTTTGGATAATGTTAGTGAGTCTTCCAAAATAATTTTGTTTATTTTACACTTAGGAAATTTTTTTCACAAAAGTACTACGACAGTGTATTTGGGGGACTAACAGAAAAGACCAGAAATTCCGGACACGGAATGCATAGTGATTTTCTTCAGCGATGTTATGCAGTTGTTTATTCTTTATGGGCCATATGAGCACAGTGCAATGCCTCTTCCCACCATATTGTTTGCCATTATTTTCGTTCCATGGATGGCAATTGAGATTTTACATGCCATGCACTGTACTTGGCATAGGGTATTCAAAGATTAGTGATATATGTTCTCTGGCTTCTCAAGGGCTAATAGAGAGTGCAACTAACTGTACTTGGGTTGGGCAAGCACTCTGATGGGGTTGTCTAAACCAGATCCTGTACCCAGAGGAAGGTGTAATTAATTCTGCCAAGGAAATGTTGCCTGGGGAACCATCTGCTCCTCAGGAGCCCACTTCCCAGTTTTCCTAAGAGACATCAATGAGTGACTTCTTTGTAAGGTACCCTTTAAAGAGTGTTTCGGCACATGGGTTTTTCATGGAATAACAATTGCTGTTCTCAGGTATGGGAATAATATCCTCAAGTAGAGTATAGGAAGCAAATTTGTAAGCCTAATTGCAACTTTCATATGTTGGGAAAAGTATCTTTTGTTCCTTTGTTGGGAAAACAAATTTAAGTTTTCAAATAAAACTTATATTGCTTCAAACACAATTGATACATTGGATTGTTTTAGTCTCTCTTAATGTAATTTTTGATAAGACAAACGTTTAGATTTTAAACCCAACACTTGTCATGGATTTGTTTCATTTTGTTTATCCTTAATTTTAGTTCAGTACCATTTGAAGAAAGAATTTTAGCAGTTCTTAAGTGGCTGCAGCTTCCTAAGGATGAAAGGTATGTAGATAACTGATTTCTGTTGTAAATATGCCTTTTTTTAATAGAAATTACCCAATATTTTAAAATAAATGACAAGAAAACCTTGTTATTGGCTATGATGTTTTATATCCAAATGAACTCTTTAGTGAGCTATTACAGCCATATTGTGAAGAATTCCAGACCTGTAAGTCATTTCTCAGCAAGTTTAGAAATGTTACCCCCTATTGTATAATTTGTATTCGCTATCAGTTGTTGAATTATTCTTTCCATTCTGTTTGCAATGTGTTCATAAAACATTACGTTTTGATACTGTTTGATTTAGACCCCACTTTTACACTCTGTATTTAGAAGAACCAGATTCTTCAGGTCATTCGCATGGACCCGTCAGCAGTGAAGTAAGTATATTTTTATCAGTGATTACTTTATTAAACCTGGTAACATCTAATGGAACCTTGCTTTGAAGCAGGTTTCTAGACCATTCTATAAGATTCCATGATTTCTGGAAAGAGTGAGTATGAAGCACATTTTTACTAAACCAAAGGATGTACTGTAATCATAAGAGTTGGGAGAATTGTTTTGTTTATACTTTCTGCAGTGCTAGATTGAACTGATGATGAATTAAATTCTGTATTTTCGATTCCAAAGCCTTTATCTACTCCACATCTCCCTACATTAGCGCAAAAAGGAAGTGCTTTTTGAAAATTTTGTAAACAAGTAAGACTCCAATTTTCTATGAAAGTGTAGGATAATATGTCATATAGCAGAAGAAGCCTCCTGTGAACTGTCCTCCTTAGGACATATAGCTCTGACTTTCTGAGACCATGCTTGCTACAGAGCCTGGGTATGAAAGGGTGGGAGATTTTTTCAAAAGTTTAGGGAAATTCAAGTAATCGTTGTATTGAGTCATTGCTAGGAGAATAAACATAAGGAAACAGTTGATGGACTAATGCTCTCAGTGTAACTTCTTGTTTGACCTGACACTCGTTCAGGATCTTAGCCTGCTCCTGGCTATGTTTATAATCATATACTGCTTTTAGTTTTTGTGTGGCCTCATCATTTTTGTATATTATAGCACAGGAAGCATTAGAGCAGAAAATGATTTGAGCTTCTTTCCTTGTACCTCTAAAGCTGACTTTCCTTATAATTTATAGTTTACCTGTGACCTAAGATATGAAAAGAAACAATAAGTAAGGATCTCTAAATGTTCTTGGTCATAATGAAAGGGAGAAGAGGTCTGGCCAGGATCCCTAATCTCAGAATCCACATCGACTTACCTTTTGCCCCAGATGATTCCAAGAGATTAAAGACTAGGAAAACACAGTCTTCCTTGATAGAGTTTCACTCCCAGATCCTCATCCCAGGTAGCCCAGGCTAGATAGGTCATGAGCCTCGGGGACTCTTTAGCACAAGTCCAGACTAAACCTTGGCCTGACATGTCCATTGTGCGTGTTTCTGAGGGTGCCGCTCCTCTAAATGCTTAAGCAACGGCAGAAGGAAGAGAGTGAAAACGTACTCACTTTTCTCACTTGAATGCAGCTGCCTAAGCCATCTCCTCTTGGTTTCCCTTACGTGGGCCTACCCTAGATTTGCCCCTCTTAAAGAGTAGGTTCCTCCTGGGTACCATCTCATCAGATACAAGATGCCAGAGAGAGAGGGATGCTGACCCTCATCTGGGTCTATGTTGACCTTTGTATTCTTTCTCTCCGGCAGCTCCCATGTAGTTAGTACCCTGTGTCCTCCCTTTGATTCTGCCCTTCAAGCAGCAATGCTCCTTTTTAGAGGTGGAGTAAGGAAGATGCGAGGCCAGCAATGTGACCAGTCATAATTGGTCGAAGGGAAAAGTTTCTTGTAGCTGTTGTCTTGGTTTGAACAATTAGCTAGATGCTGGTATAATTTTATTCTTTCACTAAAGTCACTGACACTTAGACCCATGTCTAGATGAGTCTGGCTACAAGTAAATCTAAGGGTTATTTTGTAATTGTTTGATTATCAGATCATAAAAGTTTTAATATCAGTGCTACCTTTTTTAATTCACTAAAGATTTTCCAAAGTACCGTCTTTTCTGATTCATCTTCATTCAAGGTTGAGCCCATTGCTTTCCAAATCAAATTCACCGACTTGTAAACTCTGTTAAACTCTAATATAACTGGCACATCAAAACCCACTTTATCTTAATACTTAAAAATTCCAGTTCATGTTGCTTGGATATGTTTGAGTGAATGAAAAATCATATTGAAAGAGCCTTTTTACATTACAGTGAAATATACTGACCATAAGTAAAGATTAGACTGATTTGATCCATTACAGAAAACACTTGCAAATATTTCACACCCTTCTTGTCTTAGCCTGATGCGAATCAGTTCTCATAACATTTGCATCCACTGAACTTTTTCCTTCTTAGCAGAGATAGCTTTATGTAGAAATAGCCTTTAGTATGTAACGCATCACAGGAGATTGCGTCCCTTTCTTAGGTCATCAGAGCTTTGCAGAGGGTGGACAACATGGTCGGCATGCTGATGGATGGTCTAAAGGGGCTGAACCTGCATCGATGCCTGAACCTGATTCTTATTTCAGATCATGGTAATCTGAATTTCCATCGTTTACTCTTCAAGTTAAATGGTGCCCCCCAAAAGCTTACTTGATAATTCTTTCATTATTTCCTCTGTTTGTTTTAGTTAATTCTTTTTTTGAAATGTAGTTTCTTGTGGAAAGTTCTTAGGAGAAAATTATATTCAATATAAAGTGCAAGTGAAATACAGAATTCACAGAAACCTGGGAGCGTTTCAACCACAATGCACCCATGTTCTGATTTGGGGAAGGCTTACACCAGGAATTTGGATAGTTAAAAAAATTTTTTGTCAATATTAAATTTTGGTAAATCTACTCTAAGAATTTTAGATTTAATTTGTACAGAATATTATGGATTTCTATTTTCTTTAGCATGATAAATCTGAATTTAGAGGGGATATATATTAATTTTGGCAATATTTTAATTTCTCTTTCACTTACTGTGCTCTTTTATAACACGTTTGTGGATGGCCTTGGGACTGTAGAAATGGTTTGTATATAAGAAAATAGAAAACAGATTCTTTTTATTCATTTGTTTTTTCTTATTGTTATTCTTGTTTGCTTCGTCAGTAACTATTGAAAACTATTTCTAGAAACAATCCTAAGAAGCTAGATTCTAAAGAAGCTCCAGTCCTGGAGTGAGACTGAGAGCTTTATACTCCCAGTTAATGTCCTAGGTGATTTTGAAAAAATAACCAGGCTTTCATATTTGGTCTAAAACTGTGGTCGTCCTCCTCACTCACATGAAGAAATTGTAATAGATAAATGAGAAGAAACAGTAAACTAATTTTGAATGAAGGAAAGGGAAAAGATTTTTTTAACTTTTTTTTTATGAGAAAGATTGGCCCTGAGCTAACATCTGTTGCCAGTCTTCCTCTTTTTGCTTGAGGAAGATTGTCGCTGAGCCAGCATCTATGCCAATCTTCCTCTATTGGGAGAGTATTTTTTAAAAAGTGGTAGAAAAAGTTGAAGTTCTGTGTCTTACTGATTGGCTGTTCAGCTAACATGAATGCTGAACAAATGTTTTTGAATTAAATTCTGGAAGTAAAAGAAATTCTATTCCACGTATTAAATTTTTTATTGAAGTTGCAACATGTTTGGGGCTTTTTTTCTCCTAGGCATGGAACAAGCCAGTTGTAAGAAATATGCGCACCTGGATAAATATTTGGGAGATGTTAAAGATATTAAACTTGTATATGGACCAGCAGCTCGACTGAGACCCTCTGATGTTCCAGATAAATACTATTCGTGTAAGTATATCTCTATTCTAACTGTGGATATGATTCTAGTCAGAATACATTCCTCTAAGTCATCATATCTCTAAACCAAAGCAGATCAGTTGATTTCCTTTTCACGATGAAGTCTCCAGTGCAGATATTTTCCACCTAAAGAGATTTAATGGAAGTGGATGTGACGACACGAGTCCAACCACTTATCTACTTGTTGTTCATGGCTGAGCATGTTTTTTGATGAACTTAGTACAATTTTATGTTGTAGTATGTTTTTTGTTTGTGTTAGGATCAAGATTACTTGTACTAGAAAAAGAAAACCCTAAGAGAAAAGTTCAGCTACCTTTATTCACTTCAATTGATGACATTCCGTTAAAATAACTTACAGATGTTATAGAATAATATTCTATTATGAAGAAGAATGTGGCAGAGGTGGTGAATTCTATAACCACTGATTTCTGTCCTCGGAAATGACTTTCTTAAACCATTCCAAATAACAATAAGAAGGCATTTGTAAACAGAGAAGAAGAAGAAATTTCATGTTCTCTCTTGACCATATCAAACCCAAACTGCCAAGAAATTTTAAACATTCATTCTTTTGCAAGTCAAGTCTGTTTCATAACTGTTTGCACCTCTGTTCATGCCCCTTTTTTGGATTGCCATCCTTGGTAACTTTCAGATCCTGAGGACCTATTTTGTTTATTTTTTTGTTAGACCTAACTTCAAAGAAGGAAGAGAAAAAAGCTTTTCTGACAGCAGAATTGGGTTAGGTTTGGTCATAGCAGTGCTGTGTTTCAATGGATGCTGTTGATTATTCCTGGGGAGAGAGAGATTTCACTGTAGGAAAATAATTTTGCAAGTATATTAACATAGTGACCCAGAGCACAGACTCTCTATGCATGATAAATTTTAATTAATATTTTTTTAAAAATTATAAAAGTAGTATACAACTGTTATAAGACCTCCTATAAAAACTATAGGGGCAATGGCAGTCCCCAGAGATGTTTAGAAAGGGAGGACCAAGCTTTAGCCACACCCCTATCTCAATTAGGCCCCTGAGTTTCCCAAATTAAGTAAAAACTATATCTGTCTACATACGTATATAAAATATGTGTACACAATACATATTCTTTTATCTGGATAGTTCTTTCAAACTTATATAAAGTATAGTTAAAAGAATCTTAGAAAACTAGACAGTTAATTGATTTGTAGCACAAAGTACACTAAGTACACTGTGGGCTTGCTATGCAAATTCAGTTTTAAAACTATTCTACTTGCCCTCTCTTCCAAATTCTCCTGTGTCCCTCTTATTTGGAAATTCTGGAATTATCAGTAAATATCAAAGTGTATAAAGTGAAAACTAACAGTTTCCTCCCCTAAAACCCCCTAATTCATAACCTAGTTCCTCTCTCTAGAGATAAACTCTCTTAGGGTTGGGATCTGTCTTCCCAAATATTTGCCATGCGTGTGTAAAACACGTTCAGTTCTACTTTTACAAAGTGAAATCATACAAGATCTAGATAGATAGATGGATGGATGGATATTTGGATGCATAGATGGATGGATAGATGGATGGATAGATAGATGGACAGGTAGATGGATAAAGGGCCAGGTGGATGAATGGACAGACATATGGATGAACAGATGGATAGATAGATGAATGTTCTGTAACTTGCCTTTGTATTTAACAATATGACATAATTTCACAAGCATGCCAAGTAGAGCAGTTCTAAAGATCTGTCTTATTCCTGTAAATGGCTAATATATAACGATTTAAATGAGCTGTTTGAAACCTGCTTTGGTATTTAAATATAGGATTTGGGTCTGACATTCTATATTTTTGTATTATTTTTATTTCTAATTGTAACATACCATCAACTGTCAATTCTTATCTTTATCCCCCTTCAGTTAACTATGAAGGCCTTGCCAGAAATCTTTCTGTGAGTATCTTCATTTTTCCATTATCTAATTATTGTTAGTTTTGTATAACGTATATTTATTAAAAAGTTCAGTATTTATTCTTGGGGTTATAGGATTAGAATTTTTGAGGATCTGGGCCAACATTTAAAGGCTCTGTAGTTTTTAAAGTTCTTTCAGGGCACATCCCAATAATCTAGATTTGAAAGTTTTTAAGAATTCATTTATGAACATTGTTAAATTTATATGACAGGACAAGAAATAATCGAAAAAAATAGAAGGAAAAAGCCTATAGCTGTGCCACCATAAGCACTGTTAACATTATGATATACTTCCTACCAGCCTTTTTTATTTTTTTATTTATTTATTTATTTATTTTTTTTTAAAGATTTTATTTTTTCCTTTTTCTCCCCAAAGCCCCCCGGTACGTAGTTGTATATTCTTCGTTGTGGGTTCTTCTAGTTGTGGCATGTGGGACGCTGCCTCAGCGTGGTTTGATGAGCAGTGCCATGTCCGCGCCCAGGATTCGAACCAACGAAACACTGGGTCGCCTGCAGTGGAGCGCGCGGACTTAACCACTCGGCCACGGGGCCAGCCCCCCTACCAGCCTTTTTTAAAGTAAATTTTTGTCCTAGTGCTATCTATAGTAATTTTTTTTTTTTGTACTTGATAGAATACAAGAGTCTTTGAAAATAGGATCATCAGTAGTAACTCGAATATAATCTGGTGACCCAGTCTAAGCATCCTGGGACTTTTATGCAGTAATTATGATTTCCTGTAAAAAGAACAATATTCAATAGGTGGAAAGATTCGACTTGTACATTATACAAGTAGTAAGAACTCAGTTAATTTTGCGTGTGTGACTTAATGGGCATCCTGGAAAAGTGTTTGTGAGAAAAAATTCCTATGGAGTTAGAAAGCAATTTCAGGAGATGTTTACACTTCAGAAAATATGGAAATAATGTTTTTTCTTTGCCTTCTACAATTTTAGTGCCGGGAACTAAACCAGCACTTCAAGCCTTACCTGAAACATTTCCTACCCAAGCGTTTGCACTTTGCCAAAAATGACAGGATTGAGCCCTTGACGTTCTATTTGGACCCTCAGTGGCAGCTGGCATTGTAAGTTCTGACAGTCCCAGGTAAACTTAGCCCAACCTGTTAGGAATTCAGGGTGACCGTGGGGCCCTTTCCAACAGTACTGTCACATGCAAACTGCACGAGGATGATTCTCTTCACTCTATCCCAGGGTTTCTCAACCTGGGCCTATTGACATTTTGGATCAGATCATTCTTTTTCATGGGGAGCTGTCTTGTGTATTGTGGATTGTTTGAAAGCATCCCTGACTTGTAGTCCCTAGATGAAAAAGCACCACTTTTCTATTGTTGTGACAACCAAAAATGTCTCCAGACATTGCCAAAGTTCCCTGGGGTGGGGGTTCACCCTCAGCTCAGAACCACTGCTCTGTCCGCTCATATCTGTATTGATTACATCTTATGCTTCACCTGTGTGTTACCACTTGTCATTGCATCCTTTCTGTACATTACTGTTATGCCTAATACCTTCAAAGTCCAGCAATAATTGACGAAAGCTCTTTACTGTATAATAATAAGCAATGACCTTCATCATTATACAGAGTTGTTTTTTTATTCCTGTTTACTAATCCATCAATAAACCTCAGTTTATTGGTGTCTTTGGCAAATTATTTGGATGGTTAATATTATTAACATCTCGAAAGTTTGTCATTAACTCTTCTGTTGGTTGCCAGGAAGCCAGGGTGATGAATACCCTGTAAAGCAAAGCCTAAGCAGTGAACCAGAATTCAGTCAACAGAACTGCACTGTCTCTACTTTAGTGGAGAGCTGAACTTCCAGTGTTTGGAAGGAGGATATGAAAGAAGGGATGACCCTTCCCCTCCTTGGAGAACTAATATTTAGTGAACATGTACTGAGTTCCAAGCATTTCTTTAGGTTAAACTATTTGATTTTTAGAAACAACCCAACATGACAAAATTGAAACCCAGAGAAAGTAATTAAATTGCCAGTCCCAGGTAGTAAATAGCATGGTCAGGGTTCAGAACAGTCTGTCTCAATGCTAGTGGTTTTACTTCTCTGTACCATATTGCTTCTAGTTGATTTGTCAGCAAAATAGAAGAGAAAGGTGGCCCCTTCATGCTTCTCAAAGCCAGGTGGTTTTATTTACCTTTTTTGATTTAACAAAATGGTTACTTCTTCTTTGTTAGTGAAAATAATACCATGGTTATCAATTTTCCTTTATGAATTGACTTATTAATTCACATTATGTAAAAATTAGGAATCCTCCGGCAGAGAAACATTGTCAAGGTGGATTTCATGGCTCTGACAACGTATTTTCAAATATGCAAGTGAGTAAACCTATTTTACTTTTTAAAAAAATTGATAGTTTATATCTGAAGAAAAACTGATATATGAAGTTTTAGACTTAAAAACACAGAGTGTAATTATGTCTTGAATGAGAAGTAATGAAGCGTATACTTTCATATAGCTATCTTTCTCGGGACATTGAATTAATAGAATTTTGTTAAAATTTTGTATTCTATTTCATAAACATGTCACTTATACCTCCTACTAAATTTCTAATAATTTTTTGTGTATATTATGCTCTGTTAAGATTTTTGCTCCACAGTAAATGGAAGCCAGTGATTTAATAGGTGAAAAGATATCATACTTATGTTCTAAATGAAGATAAGACCTTACACTTCCCTAGCACTTTAAAATTTTTTACATATACTCGCAGTAATTGTCTACTTTGATCCCTACAGTGCCGTGTGGGATGGGCAAGGTGAGGTCGAGATCCCATTTCGTCATCCATTCCGTTCTGATTGTCAAGTCAGGAATTGTAGGAAAGCTGAGAGAAATACCCTCCGTGTCCTAGACTAAGTGTGCGGCAGGGGTTAAAATAATCTCCTGCAAAGTCCATTGGACAGAGTATTGTTCCCCTTCTCTTAACATGGCCAGTTTATATATGTACAGTATGGATAATATGAAATACTTTTTGACCAATTACATATGTAACTGAAATGATTTGATAAATGGTTACTTTTCTGGCCAATCCAGGCCCTCTTCATTGGCTATGGACCTGGATTTCAACATGGTGCTGAAGTGGACTCCTTTGAAAATATTGAAGTTTATAACTTAATGTGCGGTAAGTGTGCACAGGCAGCTTTCATCTCTTCAGAAAACAGCTGGAATAGGATTATCCAAAGTAGGTCACAGGGTGGGCATATGGAGATGATGAGGAGGCAAGACAGACCGTTGAATTTCCACCTTTCTTCCTCCTGACCCAGAGTTATTGAAAAATTGTGCAGAACATAGCATCTGATTACTCACCTGTTTCTTCCCTAGGCTGCATGCTGGTGGAAGAGCAGGGTGCTCTGTACATCCCCAGTGCCTAGCAGTAAGCCAGGCCCTGGGCTTAATTATATGACAGTTGAGTCAGATCAGGGGTGGAGGCCAGAGAAAAAGAGTCTGGGGACGGTTGTGGGGGGGGGGGGGG